GATTTGCACCAGGCGTTTCGTTGTCCAGGAGTGACCCTTAAGATACCCTGACATTTGCAGACCTCTAGCTCATCTCCTTCCTCTTGGACGACGGACAGACAGACGGACGGACACGAGAGCGGTTGCATAAGCCCGCTTTAATGCTTTTTTAAAAGCAGAAGGGCGGGCTAAAAAACTCTAATTGGCTTCTGAGAAAAAGAAACCAAAAACTAAAATAGCAATGTGTGCCCGGAGCAGGGATGGGAAAAATTTAACTAAACTAGTTTCTGTAACTGTAACTAGTTACAATTTGTAGCAACTGAAACTGTAACTAGTTTCATTTTCAGTTATTTTTGCCCAGTAGAACTTTTAAAAACTATGAGATTTCTTTCCCGTTTATCCACATTCTGTTGCAATGTGCTATCTGGAGTCTGCGGCTAGCGCGGCATTCAGAGGAATGAAGGAAAAGGAGCTGGAAAGACGGTATTGTTTCGGCTCATCGGGGGTCTGTGCAGGCCTGTGCAAGCAAGGCGGCGAGGTCGAGGAGGAAGACCCTTTTATTTACTGCATGTCAATTATATATATCCGTTTCAACAGAGCGGTCTTCGAGATGCTCTGCCGCATTTGTCACGGTTCACATTCGCCCGGCCTTGGCGACCTTGGGTTAGCCGCCCGCTTGTCCGGCAATAGTCGCAACACTCTGTACCTGCTGCACAAAAAGAAGGATGCCCCCTATCCTTCCCCTTACCCCTACCCGCCCGCACCCGTCCACCGCTAGCCCCTTCTGACCCTCGCTATACGACGAGGAAAGCAGAGTTTTGCGGACTTTAAATAATGCGTAATCGCCTACCTTGCAAACAATTTTTCCATTACAAAATAATTATTAGAAAACAACGACCAATTTAACTCAAAAACTACCGGGATAACTGTAACTGTAACTAGTTACAATTTTTGGCGAAAAAAATGTAACTGTAACTGTAACGGCAATCTTTAAGAAAAAGTAACTGTAACTGAAACTAGTTACATTTTTAGCAAAACTAACTGCAACTGTAACTAGTTACATTTTTAAAAGTAACTTTCCTATCCCTGGCCCGGAGCCATGTTGAATACATGGAAAGTTTTAACCACTTTAGGAAAAATCCAAGTGGAGTGTAGAGACTGATTACAATTATTATTAAGCTGACACAAGCCATTGCTTTTCTGAACATAGTGTCATTTTTAAAATGCCACTGTCAGAGAGTTAGGTGATGACAGCAAATTCAATGGGTAGATTTTACCATTAAATTCAACATAAACTTCAATCAAAAGTACTACTTCAATCGAAACTTCAGGTTTACAGTGTCACCAACCTTCTTTAAAGAATCGGTGGCACTGACGGCCGTGCTTATTTGATATCTAAAACATTATGATATTCATGAAGTTTTACCTTTAAATTAACTAATTTGTTGACTGAGCGATAGCGAAGCCTATTTTTCCAGTGACGATCAAAAAGTTTCGTGTCTGTCTGCGTGTCTGTCTTGTTTGTCTGTAATCACGATGACTCGAGAACGGTTTGAGCTAGGTACCTGAAATTTTCAACGTATGTTTGTAGCATAACACGCAAGAACTGTATTGATTTTGAGCCCTCTAGCTTAAAAATTGACCTGTCAAAAAAATCAAAAACGAAGAACCCAAACAGTTTGGCCCCAATCTAACCGCGTTTAGTCGCCAGAGGGCGATTTCCACACGAAAATGACCCCAGATCATTTTAATGTTTCTCAGATATTTCTGGTCTCTGGTGGGGCAACTCGCCAAAATAAAATCCTGGAGGTAAAATTTGTGTCCTTTGGAGCCGAAGGCCTATCTACGACTCTGCCTTTCGCCCGATGCGGGTGTCAGCGCCGCAGGGCTGGGTAGATGTATGCCAGGCGCGTCGCAGCGTAACAGTGTTTCGTGAGATATCGCGAAGCCTGTTACGCGGGACTTGGTCTGGCGTACATCTACCTAGTTTAGGTGTTTTAGAAACGTAGCTGGCAGCGCTGTCTGTCGTCTGTCATTCTGTGTCTCTGAGACAGAAACATATTTTTCCACTGAATCTAGTCTACGAAAATGCACAGCATTTGGAGGTTGGATTGCCTTGTTTCAATTAAAACCTGTGCGGCGCACCCTTACGACCGGTAATGTCACGGACAGCTGACCAGCGCTGGGTAGCCAATGTCACAACCAGCTCCAGAACCTTTCCTAGTTGACCCCACCTCTTTACGGCTAAAAACTCGTAATCATCGATTTTGCTCTTTATTTACAAAGTATATTATAAAAACTCTGAAACGTTTGCGTCCACAACAAGCCCAGTTTGCACAAAAACTCTCTGTTGTTAGAATCAGAAAAGCTCCGATGGAACTACGCCCAACGCCATGGATAAATACCTCACCGAATGGCTCGTTCATATGGGCGATCGGCTCGAAGGCACACAGCGCCCAACAGCAAAGATATTGCAGCTTCTACGTGAGTCTTGGGTAAGTACGGTTCGAGGTCGTGAGCTCGAAGGCTGCAATGAGCACTCGCATAGTAAATGAAGACGGAAAATTTTCGTACGTAGATTGGGTGCGTCCTTGTGCACATCAGGGGGGGGGGGGGGGGGGGGAGGGGATTCACTTGGCTAAGTAGCGTACGGGCAATTTCGTCGAGCATTTATCCTGCCATTCCGGCTATTTCGCCGTCATTTCGGATTTTTTGGTGGTATATGGGCGAGGGTACAGAGACAACTGTAATTCCCTAGGGTCCTACAACTCACGACGACGGGTCCCTTACTAGCCAACTCGTTGTAAGCTTGCCCACGCCCAACTCGACCCTAAAAAATTAAAAGGTTGGGTCTCGGAGAGCCCAGCTAGAAGGTCGGATCTCGCTAGGGTCCAGACAAACGGTCGTATGTGATTTTCATTTTTTATTTTTTTTTTATTTTGCGATGTTTATAATTAAAATCAGGAGAAAATTTCCTTTCCAATAATTAACATCTCACAAAATCGACGAAAAAAGCACTTACGACCCTTTGTCCTGATCCCAGCGAGATCCGACCTCAATTCCGACGAAAATTCACGTCAAACTCGCCTAACTCGCGACAGCTCGTCAACTCACCAGAATTCATTGTACACTGAAAATTCAGCTTGGACACAGAGCTGTCGAGCAGCAGCCAATCAGAGCGGCTACGGGAGTTCCCCGAGTGGAGCTGCGTATGCGGGCTCGTAGCACCGTCGTTTTAACGCGTGAGGACGCCGAGACGACCTGCCGGGTTTCTAGCGACCGCGATCGAACGACACAGTGACGAGATTGCGACCAGGGCTCGGTCGCCACGTGGTCACCTCCTGGTCACACCTCTCGTCACTTCTCCGGCAGCCTAATGGTCCCCAATCCGTAACCCCCGTTACACGTTCGTCAACAAATCGCCACTCTAGAGAGACGACGAAGAAAAGCAATCGCCGCCAGTGGGACTTGAACAACTGACTCAGACCACTCACATCCTCTGTAGAGAGAGGGAGGAAGCGCCGGACAACACCTGACGCTCTCCGGGTGACCACATAGGCACGAGATGGTAAGGCCTCTGGAACGTGTGTGCGTCAAGTACGTTGCGGCGCCTCTTCCCTATTGTGGCCATGGTATGTGCGTGTTCATGGCAACAACCCTGGCCATCTAAATCAGGGGTCCCGGCAACGTGGCTTGCGAGCCACAATGGAGTCTTATGGGAGAGGCATGTCGCGGACGAGAGGCGGCGGCGGACGGCAGCCACCGGCAGCCTCAGCTGAGCCAGTGTGCGAGCCGAGCCGGCCAGTGACATAGTCTGTCTCTGTTGCACTCACTGCTCTTTCCATAAGTCCGTCCCTCTCGACCCGCCAGGCCCGGCTTGCGCTCCCCGTATGATTGGTTCTTAGTCAGTAATGAAAGTGAAATGACTCAACGGATTTGAAAAACAGAAACATTGTCTTCTGCTCTACTCAAGCTTGAGAAAAACAGCAACAGAGACTAACAACAAATCATACTTGTTAAGAAACTGTGGTTTTGCTATCACTTATCATCCAAAGAAACGGTGCCTTTCAGTCAACACAACCCAGAACATCTGTCTACAACAACATGGTTGAACTTTGGTGCATGAATCAAGACTGCAGTTGACCCTTGCAATGTAGAGGTTAGGAGAGATATGGTGAGTTGATTGAGTTGCAAAATGAACACAACAGGAGAAATTAACAAAAACAGTGAGAGGGGAGGCATTTTCTTCTATACAAATTTAATAAAGATTCTATTCCCTTGATTTGCTGAACTGTGCGGCCTCCAGTCGCAACTTATTGAGAGACATAGAATGATTTGAAAGCAAGAATCAGAAGCTGTCAGAAACTGCAACAAGAGAATCTATGCTATATTACTACAAATTTGTATATAACATTTATTTTACTTTGAATCGTATTTAGTGTTACCATCAACATTTCATAAAAAATTATTACTTCCCCCACTTATACTGTGGTGTCGACCCAGGTATCCCTTGTGATCTGTGTACCTATTCATGTATTCAGTATTTCCTGCGTACTTAACCAAGTACGCAGCAAATACTGAATACATGGCCAAGTACGCAGGAAATACTGAATACCAACAAGTACGCAGTATTTCCTGCGTTCAAGTACACACTTGGGTTTCCACCCGTGAAACCCTAAACATACAAGTCCCTTGTATGTGACATACATGTGACATACAAGTCGCCCATACGAACGCGTCGGGGACATGTATGTGGTGGTTGAAGTCATAGGCCCGACATACATGTGACATGTATGTGCACTCACATACAAGTGTGTCGCACATGTATGTGTTCTGAGAAACATCCGGCACATACATATGACCAATTAAGACTTATATGTTAGTCTCATCGTTACATATATGAAGACAGTCCACATGCATGCGACGTATGGAAACTTGTTCTTGTCTTGTGTGTCTTAACGTTGGTTAGTAGGATTGTGACTAAATGTCTTTTCCGAACAAGCAATTATATTATTTCCAGAAGAGAAACGATCTATGTAAGATTATTCAATAAATGCCTGAAGAATCGACTGTGCACATGTATGTGGCCTACATGTGATCATGTGTAGCATAAGAGTGCATACCTGCACGGACCTCTCAGCTGTGTTACGGTAGCTGAACGGTCAAGGCTCCGGGTTCGTAACACAAAGGTTCAGCTCAGCTGTGCCTCTATGAGGGCTGAGGCTCGATGTTGCTGGTTTTTGCTGAGCTTAACTTGAACTTGAAATTAAACTTTAACTTTAAATGCTCAGCTCTGTCAGGAAGCGCAAGGGGAGACCGCCCGGAAGACGGCGTGAAGTGAGGCGCCTGGCGTGAGATGTGGGATGTGAAGTGGACAGGCATGCCAACCAAAATCGCGAAAACATTTTAATTTTAGCGCGCCGCAGGCCAAGGTAGACGCACATTTAGCTCAGCTTCACACGGTTTTAACGTGCGTCTACCTTGTTAAAAAAAAGAACCGGGAACCGGGCGCAGCGGCGCCGCCGGGCCCGGCCCTGCCAGCTGGCTGCGGCTGAGCGCAAGGGCAAGGGCTGTGGAGCAAGTCGTGAACCGCGCTGCGCTGCCAGCTTACTCGGCCCCGGCCCCACTCCCCGCTCCCTCCCGGCGCGCAGCGAGACGGAATCCGGCGTTCGGTTCGTGTTTTCCTACGAGTTACTGCCCTTGTTTTTAGGCCCCCCAAGGGGGCGTTTCTGCTCGCGTGCGAGCGCTTCCTCTTCTTATTTCTCCACAGGCTATTAAGGTACCGCGACTTCTAAAGAACAGATTTTGATAAAATTTTAACGCAAAATCAATCCAAAAATTAGATTTCATTGGACTATAGCCTCATTGAAATCCTTCTGGCCAATTTTGAGAAAATTAAAGTTACACATCGAAATTATAACGAAAATCAGCAAAATCCTGCCAAGCCAACAATGGTTCGCACTTGTCATTCTTTCTGTCCATCCTGCGGCTTATCTTTTCACTTAACAGGAAAACGCATGAGACAGAAATTCAAGACCGAACATTAAGCTTCCGAACGATGTGTTCAAAACTGTCGTGCGACGTTCCAGTCGAGAACGACAGCAAGCTGAATAATATGTGACAGTTACGCTTATTCTTCGTGTCTTGTTTTTAATTTCTAGTGCAGTAAGTATTGATTTAAACAGGGTAGTGTAAGCGAGCCGATTGTGCACCGTTCTTTAAGCTACCGAACAAGCTTTTAATCGATGCCATTAGATATCCCAATCACAACTTCTACCGGTTTAAAATCAAAGCTGCACAGTTTGTTTAGAAATGGGCGTGGCTACGACAATCCTGGGTAGAAAGGAGGCGTGGCTTCCAACAATAGTACCAACCTTTGCAAACGAACTCGCTTTATGTTTTTGGATAAATTGAGTGATGTACTCTCCTCACTTTTATGTTCGACCCACCTCTCATAACCCCTTCTTAGCGATTTCGCGTGCACTTCAGAGATGGTTAAATGACATGTTTTTGAATAATTGTAACTATGAGTAAAAGTTGCCATTGCCGGGGAGTGTCCACTGAGTAGTTTCTATAAGGCGCTTGCCTCGCTGTTGGTTTTGTTATTGTTGTGACTTCAGAACGAAGAGCCACAACACTACCCATCAAGTTTTGACGACTTCTCTTTCTTCTAATTTTCAACGCTCAATCTATTGAAGTGATTAATTAAATGATTATTTCTTCGTGTGCATACGATTGTTCGTTAAAACTTCAGGGGCCATTAACGCGTCAGCGTTAGAATTTTTGTTTCTTGGTTCGGTCGGTATTGCGCAACCTCGTCTGAGTTTTCTTGTGTGTGACTTATGAGTGGTGTGCTGTGTACTTGAGTGATAATGAGTGAGAAACGTAAGCCTAGTGGGAGTCAAGGGCGCAAAAAAAAAAAGCGAATTCAAGGAAGAGAAGAAGCGAAGCTTGGGGGCTTCCTGTCGCAGTTCCTAAGTTCCTCAAGATCGTCGGAGCCAACACAAGGAAAATACATATCCCTAGGTTTGATTTTGCCACGCTGCGATAAAAAGTGAAGGAAGGGCGGAAGCGCTTGCTAGTCCTTGCGCTAGTGCTGGTATGGGTATGACACATTAATGTTTCTGGCTGTGGTGGGTCCAGTTTTGCGTTGAATTATCTCTCAAATACAGTACCGCGCGCGATGCAAAAACAGCTCAGTTGAGTTTTTATTCATTCTCTCCTCTCACTTTTACGGTTGTTATTGCCATGAGTGTTGTGCCGTGTAATGTTGGTGCTGTGGCTGAGGTTGAGGTTATGGACGCAGACACTGTCACGGATATTGACTTCCACGCTACGCCCGCGCCCGCTGTCGCTCATACTTCTTTGAGCATTAGTACTGGTCCTGACACTGTCGAACCGTCTGTTCCAACTGATGATCCGGATATATCTTTATCTTTGAGTGTTGGTAGGTAAAATTTTCCAACATCATTACAAAATTTTAGCATATTATAAT